GGGTGGAGCCTGGGTGGAGTGTGGAGCTCGGGGTGCAGCTCAGGGTGCAGCTCAGGGTGAGCACCCCAGTTCAACACCAGGACCAAAACAGAAAGATGATTTCTGTCTTTTAGAGGCAGCTGCACTATTCAGACTTGCCAGCTCTTCCCTGCTGTGAGAGGAGTGCCGACCTGCTCCTGTTCCTGGAAGCCTGGCTGCTTTTCCCCACTTCAGTCAGAAATGAGGGGGACCCAGCAGTAGTCAGTAACCCTGAGAGAAGGTTTTTCAGGGCTGACGGCGGGTGGGGAACCACCTGCTTTGCACCAATCAAAACAGTGGCTGAAAGGCGTCCTGGCCTCTGCCTGCACAGGACCCCAGCAACACCGCACACCTCCCAGGGCCTGGCTATGTGGCAGTTTCTTGCCACCAGAGGTAGCCTCTTTGCAGCTGAACGTGGACGGCCACTTAACCAGGAGAGCAGACGCACCTGTGAGCACCACCATGACCCAGAGCCTGTGCTCAGCCTGAGGCCTGGTGACGGTCAGCCTGAGCAGTGTCTGAAGTAGGACTGCATCCTCGGGGTCAGGCTTGCTTCTGAGAAGAAGGTGCCTCACTGGGGACTTACCGCTTTGCTATTCAGGAAAAGGCACTGGGAGCTCTGCTGAATCGCAGGAGTGACTCTGAGCCAGCCTGGGCGTGAATACCCGTGAATCCAGGAGGAGGGCCAGAGCCATTTCCAGGCACCCCCATCCTGCACATCTTTAGTGACTCACCAGTCCATGATGTTGGTGGACAATGCAGCTGAGAAGCCCAGGATGTTGAAGCTCATCTCAGTGGCTGTGCACAGGGCCAGGCCTCCCATGACAGGGATGAGGGACAGGTTTACCAGCAGTCCTGAAGGGCAGGACGCACAGGTAGGACTGGCACAGATCCCTCCAAGGGCCCAGGCACCTCCCACCCCCTCAGATGACAGGTAGGACTTTCACTTTGACTCAAAAACAAATGCCACCAGCTCCTCAAGTCACAGGGAGACAAACCAAGAGGAAGCCCAAGTAAGGCCCACCCTGCAGCAGCCTGCACACTGGGGCCCTCCTCTGTGAGGGGTGTATGCTGGGCCTCAGAGACCTGAGACCCACAGACACGCTCTGGCAACATGGAGAGACATTGGAGGGTCCCCAGAAACGACTGCCCGTCCCAAGATGAGCCCAAGTGCTGAGGCTCAGGAGAGATGGTGGAGCCACCCTAGGAAGCTCACCTACTGCCCACTGGAGACAGGCCCCACCCCGGACACACTGCTGCCTGTCTCTCCACCAGGCTGGGCATGAGGCACAGCTCCCTCTGACCTGCGAGCACCCTACTCCTGGTAGGCACAGGAGACATCTGTCAGGTGGCCCCTGAGGCACTCATGACCCTAAGCAAATGTCAGGGAGGGGAGGCGAGGGGCTGGCACTTTGTGACCCCAGGGCTGCAGCTGCTCTGAGCTGGAGCACACTGCAGGGAGGACAGGACGGTGAGCCCGGCTCCAGGGCCACTCACCTGTGTACTCCCCCAGGATCATCCGAGACATGATCACGGTGAAAATTGGGGCAGAGCTCTTCACTGTCTCGGCAAAGGAAACTGCCACGTTCTTCAGGCTGACCAGCCCCAGAACCACTGTTGCGAACCTAACAGCAAGCACGGGCATCCTCAGCACTGGCACTCTGGTCAGACCAGCCTCGCCAGCACCACCCTGCCGGCCACGGCTTGGCACCCCGAGTGTGACTCCCTCAGGCTGCAGGACCCGGGGCAGCACCCTGGGAGAAGCACCTTCCCTCCAGCTGATGCTGAACTGGTTCCTGACAGAGAATCTGCTGAGGACACATGGCATGCAGATGCACAATGCCTCCTCAGGCCCAGGCCCGACGCTCCCCAGCAGGGCCCCAGCCACGGGCGGCAGAAGCGCTCCCACCATCGGTGGTCAGAGGCATCTCATGCCTGGAGTAACTGGACACTCGGCGAGGGCCAGTCTTTACCTCATCAGGCCCACAAAGAGCATGGTCACGATGAAGTTGGGTGGGTAGGCCAGCCGGGGCTTGTGCTGGTGTAGGCAGCAGGGCAGGCACGTCTTCACACACCCGATGACCGTGGTCGATAGCATCTGCACGGCACCTGAGGGGCGCGGGGGCCACGCTGACCACACTGCCCACTGAGCCCTCCGCCCCATTCCCTCCCGGCCGGGCACTACCTAGCATGCTGGGTTCGCCCTCCAGCAGGGACAGGATGTACTTGTTGAGGAACAGCGTGCAGAAGCTGAGGAAGAACCAGAGTGACAGGTAGCTGAGGGCCCGCGGGCTCCACACGCCCAGGCCTGACTCGAGGACTGTGGTCTCCGTGATGGTGACAGTGAGCAGGCTCTCCTCCGGGCTGCCCTCGCTCCTGGTGAAGGCCATCTTCTCGCTTCGGTGACCGAGAAGAGCGCCCCAGGCGAGAGCCGACTGTCCCTTGGGCTCCTCTGCAGGGTCGGGAGCGCTCTCCGGAGCCTCGGGTTTGGTGGAAGATGACATGCTGGGGTCCTGCCCAGGAGAACCAGCTTATCTGGAGGGCGGGCAGCATGGGTCACGGCCACTGCCCAGGTGCGAGGATGCTGGCAGAGGAGAGGACGCCGTGGTCCCGGCTGGCACGCACATGGCCCCTGACACTGCCTCTCCCCAGCAGGGCGTGGAAGCAGAGGCTGGGCTGCTGAGGGAAGGAGCTCGGTTACCACGAGAAGCCCCAGAGCCAGAGCTGCGGGGGCAGCTGCACAGGGCACGTGCACCCAGGCTTGTCTTCAGGTCGACACAGAGTCCACTGCCCCTAAAAAATGGACCAACTCCAGGGCCACACCCAGCTGACCCTCCTCTCCCTCACACAGCAGCTCTCAAGCAGGTCCTGAGGGCTGTGTCCACAGCGTAGGCCAGGCTGACCTTGGCCCTTCCTCTCCCACCCCACCCAGAGTCCTGCAGGCCTTGGTCACTGCAATAGCTCAGCCTCAGTGGTCACCCTCCTCTGGGCTCGCCCTCCTTCCTGGCAGGAGACCAAGACCGCCTGGCCCCCAAGGCCCTGCTGAGCTCCATGGTCTCCAGGCGGAGGCTGCCCCTGCCCCAGCCCGTGCCCTGCCTCAGGCCTGTACAGCCATGCTCACGCCAGATGGCCACTCCTACAGCTGTGGGCAGGGCCAGATCTGCCCACCTTCTCCCTTGTGCCAGGGCACTCTCCTAGTTCTTGTTCTATACAACCCTCGGTGACAAAGACTTGCTCCATCACAAGGACCAAGGTCCCCCTTCCAAAGTAGACAGAGCCCCTGGAGCACACTCCTGGGTCCTGGGTTCCTGCCTCGACACCTGGCCACACTTTCTTCTCTGGGTTCAGCTTTGCATTTAAAAGGGCGCCCTTCACCTTCCCTTGCTCTCCCAGTCACCCGGCCTGCAGCAGGGTGGCTCTGCTTGTCCCTGAACTCCCCAGGTCCACCTCGGGACAGCCCCACCCACACCTCACCTCATGGGTGAGTCCTACGCTGCGGCCTGCCAAGGCCTCCCGGCTCCCTGCTCATGCACCTGTGAGCTCCAGGCTCCCCAGACAGCCGTGGAGACCCAGCCCGACTCCCCACAGTGTGACTGCAACCCTTCCCTGCTCCTGGTGCAGGGCAAGGCTGGAGGCTCTGCGGTCAGCCCCCACCCACAGCTCCACCCATCTGTCCAGCCGGCTATTACTGTGCCAGCAATCGCAGTCTCTCTCAGCCACCCACGTGCATGGGGTCCCGCTGCCCCAGGGTGAGGACAGCTCATCCAGTCCTCATTGTCCCAGCACAGCAGCACCATCTGCCCTGGTGACCATGCCGGTGGCTCTTTACTGGGCTCTGGCCTGAGATGGGGACGCAGGGAGAGCTTGCTCTATCCCACCCCTTCCTACCGGGTCCAGGGCTGGCTGGACGTAGACCGGTCACCTTGCCATCATCCAATGCCCTGGGCACCCTGGGGGCTCCTTTCTGAAGCAGCTAAATAGCCCGTGGGACTAGCCAGCAGAGCCCCCTCCAGATGGCTGCCCACGTGCCTTCACCAGCACACCACTGCCGGGGGCTGTTTCCCAGCCCCTGTGGGTGCCACCTTCCACGGCCGACCCAGATCTTGATAAGGAGACCAAGCGGCACCCTGTCCCTCCGGCCTGGGACCTGCCACACAGGCGCTGCCTGAGCTTGGGGGAACACCACCAGCTCCCACTGTCCTTGTTCTCTGCCAGGGAAGACGGGGTGCGTGGGCTTCCTGTCTGGACTCAGAGCACAGGCCTCTCAGCTCACCCTGGGCTGAGCAGCTCCCTCTGCCAGGAAGGTCTCCACGGTTCCTGCTGAGGGTCACGGCTTTCCAGGCAAAGCCGCCACAGCAGCAGGTCGTGCTGGCCCCAGAGCCCAGGGCCCTTGTCTCTGCTGAGGCCATGAGGCTGTGTGACACGGGCAGCGTCATCCAGGGCTGGAGGCAGCCTGACACCTGCCCCCCCACTGCTCACTCTGGTCGTGAGATACCCAGGGCCCAGGGTGCCACCTGGGACGCTCTGTTCCTGGCCCAGGCCTCGTACAGGAGCCAGACACATGGTCCCTTCACCTCACTACCGCAGTGTTCCCTGAGAACAGGCTGCTGTGCCACTCCTCCACCAGCCAGCACCTGGGCCACACCAGCACCCAGGTGAGCTCCCTGGCCATAGATGTGCACAGGAAGGCACAGGAAGTCATCATACAGACCCTTTCTCCCATGCACCCGCTGCATGGCCTCAGCGGCCACTGTCTGCCCTGCTCCTGTGCCCACGCCGTCCTCTGCCCTGTTCCCCTCTCCAATCCCAAAGGACACTGATATGGTGCCACCTCCTCCCGAGGCTACAGTGGCCAGCAGAGAGGGCCACAGCACCTTAAGAACACCCCCTCACTTGTGCTCAAGGGTGGACAGGCAGACAGCCTCTGTGCCGCGCCACCCCTGGCTCCCAGGCCCTGTGCACATCGCTGCCCAGGGTAGCTGGCAGGACAGAAGCAAACAGATTCCAGAGACTCTGCAGGATGTGACCTTTCTAGCTAGAGCAGGTGACAGGAGCAACAGGCGAAAATCACCCAGGCACTTCCTAAGCCAGGTTTAGCCAGAGCCAGGCGGCCCCGGGAGGTGTGCTCCCTTGCCGTTGAGAAAGTCTGTCTGGAGCTCTGCGGAGTCACTCAGAGCAAAGACAACCAAAGAAGAAAACAGCTGAGTTCTCACAGAGGAGCTGGCAGCGTGCCTTCACAGCCACAGGCCAGGAGGGAGCCAGGGCCGGGGCCCCCCTGCCAGGGGCACACCTGAGACTGGAGGGGCGACTCAAGGCTCCAAGAGCAGTCGAGGTGCAGAAGCCCACAGGCCCAGGGCATGACGGTTACACACCAGGGTTCCCATGCATCTCCTCAAGTGCAGCCACTCTGCCAGGACCACTGTCAGGTCTGGGAACACATCACCATGGAAACACTGCCCGACAGCTGAGAGGCGCAGGGTACGGTGAGTGGCCCTGGGCCTCTCCCGGATGCCTGCTCAGCAACCCTGGAGAGGGCCCTCAGGGCTTCATGGGGTCTGATCTCCAGTCGCACTTCCCGGAGGCCGAGGGGAGGCAGAGTTCCCTCTAATGCTCCACTTCTGGGACCACTGCATCCTGCTGCCCAGGGCTTGCCTGAGCCACTCAATGCATAAAGTCCATTCTACCCCAAAGAGGCACCCAGCAAGTAACAGCATATTCCCATCACTCAGGAAATTCCAAAGGTTTTAAGAGTCCTGTGCCAGGAACTAAGGACAAAGACCAAAAGTCATCTCAAGATTATCTCAGGCCTCCAAACAGCTGAAGTCCCAGGAGAACTGCAGGTGTGACTGCCAGCTGCCAGGATGCAGGATGGAGGGAGCGCCTGGCAGCCCTTCCTGCAGACCCACTGCCCTGCCCTTGCTCCTGCTCCCTGGAGTTGAGACTGGCCTCCGCTGCCTGTGGAAGACCCCAGCAGAAAGGTGGGGTGTGCCAGTCCCTGGCTGCCTGCGTCCCTGCAGCTATAGCCTCCACAAACTGGCCTTGGCTTGCTTTGTAGGGCTCCCTCAAAAGAGACCCCTGGAGCCAGGCTTGGGGACAAAAGTTTGCTCCAGGGGGGCTGGGGCGGAGAGGGCAGCAGGAGTAGTGGAGGTGGTGGCCACTCCCTCCTTTCCAGGAAACAGCAGAGCAACCCAGTGGACAGGGCAATGCCCACAGCCGCTGTTCTTCAGGCTGAGTTCGGAGCTTCTGTGTCCTCCCAGGCAATGGGCCACAGTGCCACCCCCAGGACAGGCGTGGACATTGTGGGACAGGCTCTCACTGCCTCCCTGTGTTCTGCCGTCCATCTCCTGAAAATGCAGAGCTGGAACCCAGGGAGCCAATGGCCTGCGTTGTCCAGCTGCTAGGACACACGGCCGAGTGTGCACATGCCCAGGTCCACCTGTCCTCCCAGTGAGGCAGCCTGTGTGCTGCTGGTAGCACCCGCGTGATGAGACAAGCCCATCACTGGCCATCAGCCAGATGGCACTGGGTGAATCTTGAGCTCCCCTCAGGGTCCAGGGCAGAGAGGAGCAGGTGGGGGACCTGGGCCTCTCAACAGACCCACCTGCTGCCCACCACATCTAGAGCAGGGCCAGGAGACCTCAGCTTCGGGATGCATGCTCACTCTCAGCATGTCTTCGGGACAGTTGAGCTCTCTCAAATGCCCACTCACCTATTATGACCCATAGGTGCCATGAGGAGGGAGCAGGGCCAGGTGAGGGCCAGCAAGACCCACAGGCTTTACCCAGGCCACTGTCCTTCCTGGAGGCCCTGGACGAGGGGGCTCTGCACCCACCTGGCCTCTCTTCCACCCCTTGGCAGGAGCCTGCCGGAGCACCCTAAACACCAGTGTGGACGTCTGCGACAGAATTCAAGGAGGCCGAGGCCCAGGCAGCTGAGGGCTCACTGCTCCAGAAGCCCAGGTCGGGGGGAGATGAGGAGGGGAGGCAGCACAGACCCCTGGCAGGCAGAGGAGCCGTCTCTGGGGAGTGCGGCAGGACCAGGACCTGCCAGGGGCCTAGAACAGGGCGCCTGCACCTCCAGTGGCCTCCAGGGCCTCTTGGCAGAAACCAGCAGAGACGCACAAAGAAATGAGCCTGGAGAGGAAGGAGGGAGAAGAGCGAAGGAGAACCTCAGCTGCCACAGACCTGAGACAGCCTTGGCTCCAAGGGGCCTCCACCAAGCAGCACGCCAGGGCCATGGACGCTAGTCAGAGAGGCAGAAGCAGCATCTCACCAGGTCTCACCAGGGAGCTCCTCAGCGACTGGGAGGTTCTGAGACCCGTCACAGCTGAAAAGCCAGGGAACAGGAGGTGGGCAGAGCCCAGCTGGGGACCCGAGAGGCAGGAGCAAGTCCTCTTTGCTGAAACACTTCCGCTGTGGGGCCGGAGAACATTCAGATAGAGATCAATGCTGAGGATCAAAGATCAAGGACCAGCAGCTACCAGGGTGCCAGCAGGGAGGAGAGGCTGCCTGCAGCCTTGGGGTGGACCCAGAGGCCTGAGGACAGCAGTCTCTACAGCTGCCAAACAGGACACCATCGGGCAGACAGACAAGCAGACAGAGCCATCAGGACTGACAGGTAGGGAAGAACCAAGCCCTGGCACAGAGCTTGGCAGCGGAGCTGCACCCTGCAAACCCTCTCCCCACAGAAACCAGGGCCTGCATCACCTGCAGGTGAAGGACAGGAACCTGTGGCCAGAGGCAAAGCTCCAGAGAGGAGACCAAGGCTTGAGCTCCGACCACCCCAGAAGGGGTCTTCTGCACCATGGCAAACCTAACCCAGAAAGGTGTCAGGCAGGTCTGAAACACATAGGTGGCGCAGTCCTAGCACCCACCCGGGGGGGGGGGACCCCAGGGGGCACCACAGCCTACTACACTGTGTTGGAGTTAACTCCCCACGGCAGACAGTCACACTGAGACCAAGTAAAATGTCAACGTTGAGGCAGGCAGAGGGTGCACAGGAACGCTCACATGGCTCTTCCGGAAGTCTGAACTTTTCTTAAAATACAAAGTTTCGGGCTGGGGATGTGGCTCAGGCGGTAGCGTGCTTGCCTGGCATGCGTGTGGCCCGGGTTCGATCCTCAGCACCACAACAAAGATGTTGTGTCCGCCGAGAACTAAAAAATAATATTAAAAAAATTCTCTCTCTCTCTCCCTCTCTCTCTCTCTCCTCTCTCACTCTCTCTAAAAAAAAAAAAATTAAAATACAAAGTTTGAAGTCTGAGTGTGGTGGCCCCATGCTCAGGAGGCTTAGGTAGACTGAGGCAGGAGGATGGCAAGTTTGAGGCCAGCCTCAACAACTGAGCAAGACCTTGTCTCAAAATAAAGTATAAAAAGGGCTGGGGGTGTGAGGCAGTGGAAGAGGACCTCTGGGCTCAGTCCCCAGTGTTTAAAAAAATAAACGAAACAAGAGACCATTTACTCTCTGAGTCCCTCTTGCTGTGCAGGCACACAGTGAAGAGGTGAAGATCAGTAGCTCCTCGTGGGGTGAGGGCAGGGGTCCCTTTCCACCTCCTCCTGGGGCAATCCCTTCGCTCAGGGTCTGGAAGCCAGGCCTGCACACACCCTCTGCAGGGGGTATGGGGTCACCTCAGAGGCTGTCTACTCCAGCCTCACTCCAACAATCAGGGATGAAAAGTCAACCCCCCAAGACAGCACTTCAAGCCCACACTGACCAAAGTCAGTTCCAAAGTTTTTGCAAGGTGGCATGGGGACAGCAGGCAGCAGAAGTGAACCAGGAGCAGCCACCTCAACAAGGTGTGAGTGACCGAAGGAAGGACACTCTTCCACCTGTGCCTGGCTCAGCCTGGGGCTTGGATCCCGCGCAGCATCTACTTGGGGAGGCCACAGACCCCTGGGGGCTTGTCAGCCCCTCTCAGGCCACATGGGGTTGAGCCAGAGCTACACAGTCTAGCAAAGCCTGGAGTCCCCACTGGATTGGGCCCACCATCCCTCTTGGCCTCAGTGACTCAATTCCTGTTCTGCAAAGGACTGAGGTCAGCAGCCGTCTGGTACACAAATGCTGGAAGGGCGTGCATGGCCAACCTCACTTGGGGACAGAGTTGCTGGAGCTGGGGAGTGGGTGTGCTGCCCACCTGCTCGGGCCAGAAATGGAGCGGGATGGCTCCTGTCCCTCCCGCCCCAGCCGGAAGGATGTGTGCAGGCTGGGCTCACAGGGAACAAGCTGCACAGTACTGAGCCCCTGTGAGCAGGCAGATGCTGGGCTTCAAGGTCCCCGAGCTGCCAGCACTGCGTGCACCAGACCTGCTGGCCAGAGAACGTTCTGTGGGATCACAGAAAAGATGCCACTTTTCACGCCAACATCTTCACTGTCCCTAGATTCCAGGCCATGGACCCAGTTCAGAAGCTGTTTTGAAGCAAAGCAGATGTCACCAGGTGTTCTGTCTGACTGGTCTCCATTTTGGGTGAGGGTGTCAGGGCACATCCACGCTTGACAAATCCTGCTCATGGGGTTCAGAATCCTCACCCGAGTGGCTCCAGCCTCTGCCTGGCCTGGGGCTGCCTGCTAAGCTCTGGTCTCCCAAGTAGAAACTGGAAGCCCCGAGGAATACACACCAAGGAGTGCCCAAGGAACTCAAGCACAGAGTGCGGACAGATGCTGCCCGCCACCCTCTGCCGGGATGCCAAGCTTCAGCACACAGCACTGTACTGGCTGTGTCCAGCTCCAGCAGGGGGACACCAAGTCCATTTTTATTCCTTTTCTCTTCTACATTCTCTAATTTTTCTACACTGAAAATGGATAATGTGAATGTGAAAACCTTCCTATTTCCTCTTTTTGTTTTCTTCGGTACTGGGGACTGAACCCAGGGCATTCTACCACTGAGTTTCACCCCCGACCGACCCTTTCTAAATTTTTACTTTTGAGATAGAGCCTTGCTGGCTTGACCAAGCTAGCCTTGAACTTGCCAACCTCCTGCCTCAACTCTCCCAGTCACTGTGATCACAGGCCTATACCACCATGCCCAGTTTGCACTTCTGTCTTAATGTCCCTTTTAATGTTAATAGTTTCATTCGGTGTTAAAATGTTATTTGCAAACTTATAAAGTACACTGAATTTGGGGGAAAAGGACCTTTAAAAAAGCCACTGAACAAGAAATTCCTGTTTAAACAGTGGTGTTGTACTTTTTGTTTTATTCTTTTGTAGAAGCCTGCAAAGATGTTCCCTGCTCAGAGAACAAATTTGCGGGGAGCTGCCTGTTTGTCAGAATGCCGGAAACACGACGGTTAAAGCAGACTCCCCGCGCGGGGACCTGCAGCTCTGGGCCGGGCTGGGGCTGCGCTGCCACCTCACAGGGCCCTGCCCTGCAGC